GGGTGTGTCTTTCACTTCACAACTAGGTTCTTATTCCAATTTCTTTCCACTTTTTTTTTTTTTAAAGATGACTGGTAAGGGGATCTTAACCCTTGACTTGGTGTTGTCAGCACCACGCTCACCCAGTGAGCAAACCAGCCATCCCTATATGGGATCCGAACCCGTGGCCTTGGTGTTATCAGCACCGCACTCTCCCGAGTGAGCCACAGGCCGGCCCTTCTTTCCACTTTTTAACATTAGCCACACACATTCAAAATACTACTACCTCAAATGCCTTTTTTTCTCCGCATGGAATGATCTTGGGCAATGAACTCTCAAGTTGCTGAGCCCGTGTCTACAGGAAAAAAAATTTTTTATCAAAAAGACAATGTAATAAATGTTGACTTTTTTTTTTTAAGTCACCCACAGTTGCACCATTTCAACACAATTATTTTTACTTTTAAACATTCCCTTCCAATGGCCCATATGTATATATTTTTACATAGACATACTTAGAGTCTGTTTTATAGTGCTGTTTTTTTTTTTTGTCTTTTTCCGTGTCCGGCAACGGATCGCAACCCTCAGTGTCGCCCCCGTATCGCCCTCGTACCGGACCAGGACCGGCAATGGGATCGCAACCCTCGGTGTTGCCCCCGTGCCTCGCTCAGCCAGTGAGCGGGAACCGGTCTGTATGTGGGATCCGAACCCTCGGGCGGGAGCGCCACCACGCTTCCCAAGCGACGCACTATCCAGTGCGCCACCGGGCCGGCCCAATAGTGCTGTGTTTTAAAAGGACGAACATAACTTTTTCCCTCGTCCTCTCAGGCATCTACTCTTTTCTGAGATCTCACCCACTTCCTTAGCTTCAAATATCGCCACTGCACAGAAAAGAAGGCACATTTTTATCTCTAGTCAGCTTCTGTTATTTATTCATCCATCCACCCATTCATTCACTTCACGCACTGTGCTGGGTACGGGAAATACAATGTGAAAAGGCCTGGTCCTGTCTGTCTGGGAGCTTGTAGACCACTGGGGGCAGGCAGGGCGGCAGGGGGAGAGTAAACAAACGATATTGGTGCAGTGAGATTGGAGGAATAGTGGGAATCTTGATGAAGAAGCCCTAAAACTGACTTAGGGACCTAAACAAAGGGGAGAAGGCCATTTGAGCAGAGGAAATTGCATGTGCAAAGATACAGATGCTCAAAAGATCTTTGCACTTTCTGGAAACCACAGTGGTTTAGTATTGGTGGAGTGTGTGTTGGCTGGGGACTGAGAGGGTGTGGCTGGCAGGCAGGGGCCAGATCTTGGTATTCGTTTTTTTTTTTTTGGCGACTGGCAAGTACAGGGATTGTACCCTGGACCTTGGTGTTATTAACACCATGTTCTAACCAACTGAGCTAACTGTCCAGATTTTTAAGAACCTTGCAAAGGACTTGAGACATCTTGTAAATGATAATATATCTTAGTTCCTATTGATTTTCCACTCTGCAGCCAGAGTGAGGAAGTATTGTGACGATGAATATCTAACTGTGGCCCAACCCTGCGTCAGTATCCTAAGAATCGAGTCCTAAGTCTTCGACAATGCTGAAAAGTCCCTTCATGAGCCCCTCCCACTGCTTCACCCTCATGCCACATTATCCTTCATCCCAGCTATAACTGGCTTCCTTGAGTTCTGTCTTACTATCTGGCCTTTACACATGCTGTACCCACTCCTAGAACGCTTTCTTCCTCTCATACTAACAGGGGTCTCAACTTAAACCTCACTTCCTCAACCTTTCCTGATCCTGGACAAGTTCAGGTCCTCTGCTATGTCTCCAAAGCCACCAGTACTACTCCTGTCATATTGTCAGAGGTATGTCTTCTCCTTTAGGTTGCAAAATCTGTGAAGGGTTGTCCTGCTCTCTGCAGAATAGATGCTAAGTTAACGTTGGTGGAGAGGGGCCGGCCCACCGGTCATCTTTTTAAAAAAAAAAAATGTTGGTGGAGAGAATGAATGAACACACTGAGCTTTTCAACAGTGTACTGGATATTTCCACCTGTGTGTCTTCTGGAGTGTTGAACTCTTCATTTCCAAAATTGGGTCATCATCATCTCCTCACCTGCCCCTTCCCTGTTCCCTGTGTCTGCCCACTCCAATCAGCTATTCCTCTTGACTGGCAAATTTCTGTGTTGTTCTCGCCATTCTCAGAACAAAGAACTGCAACTGTTCCCTCAGTTCCTCCCCCTTTTTGCTCAGCAGCTAAGTCCTTCCCTTTCATTTCTATTTTTTCTGGCCACCATTCTAGAACAAAGTGTCACAGTGGGGGGAAAAACATGGGCTTTAGAACAAAACAGGCCTGGGTTCAAATCCTGGGTCTACTGTATTTTGATTTCCTTGGATAAATTACAAACTTATCTAATCCAGTTTCCAAATCTGTAAAATAGAGATATTATCCTCCCTGTAGGAGCACTATGACTTTAGTACACAGCAGGTGGTAAATACATGGTTCTCTTGTTATTGTAACCTCGTAACAGACATCTTCTACTCAGAAACCTTCAGAGGTTGCACATCACTTGACAATGAAACCTAAGCGGTGCATCTCTTTACTCCACTCCCCAAACCCTGGGCTCTGGCCAATCTGAAATATTGGCTGATGCTATCACTCTTTCCTCCCTGCTTTCACATCGCAGTTCAAACCACATCTTCCCCGATTACCTCAACGCCAAGTAATGGCTCACTCCTCTGTAGTCCTGTATGTGGTTCACTGGCACTTGGGGCCACCTCCTTGTCTTGCAGGCCAGTCAGCACTAGATTACAAACTGCTGAAAGCAGAGGCTTTGTCTGATCATCTTTTACCCTGCAGAGCACCTTGCATGCCGTTGATGCTCAACTAATACTTGGTGAAATGTCAACTCACTTTCCTTATTTCAACGGGCTTGTTTTCTCTATAGAATCAGATATTTGGTTCTTCTAATCTCAACGCTATTTTGCTGGCTTCCAGAGAGCACGTTAACATTAGATGTGTTCTGTCCTCTTCTTTGATTGGAAAGAGCTTTTAGAACTGAAAAATAAAAGTTACTTCTTTAAGTCTCATCTTCTGCCATTCCCTGGTACTCACCGGCCTCATAAAGGAATGTAACTACTTAGCATTTTACAGAACACGACTTTCTCCCTCACGCCTCCGTTCCTCTGCACTGACATGCCAGTCCCTTTGCCTGAAATGCCCTAACTTTGGTTTCTCTGCCTGGCGAACTCCTACTCATCCTCCAAGACAGCTCAGACATCACCAAACACCTTCTCTATGAAGGCTTTTTGCAATGGGTAGAGTAGTGACTCCTCCCCCATCTTTTCAGCTCCCTCAGCATTCCCCAAAGCATTATAACAATATTATGGTATTATTTGTTATTATGGTATTATTATTATTATTTTCTCCTACTTCTCTAAACAGTGAATTGCTTGAGGGCCAAGATTTCTGTTCGTCGTTGTACCATTTATACTCGGCACAGTGCTTAGCATATGATTCAATCAATGAAAGAACGAATCCACTAATTCATCTAACACTGCAGCTTGTATGGACCAGATTCTCAAACGTTTCAAGACCTGGTCCTGTACTGGGCGTGCTTCATACTGGAAGGAGATCCCTCCCTCTTCCCCGCACTGCCTCGGTTTAGTGGAAAGGAAAGAGGAAGTGATTAGAGTGTGGAAAGGGATCCTTTAGAACTGAGCTGTAATTTAACCGCTCTGGCACCGAGAGGGTTACAGCGACCCGCGGGCGGAGCCGGGCCGGGGCCACCTGCCGCGGGGAGGTCTCGCGCAAGCGCCCTAGCACCTAGATGGCCTCCACCTGCAGGGGCCCGGCGCTTGCGCTCTGGGCCTTTTCCGCCAGGCGAAGTCTCGCGGGGGCGGGGCGGGGCCTCGTGAGGAAGTTCTCGCGGGACCCCGACGAAGAGCGGAAGCGAGGCGGCTCTGCTGCTTGGGTGACCGGGCGGCGGCAGGGGCGACG